CAGGAGGGACTAGATCCGCGGGAAACGGGTCTTTTTCGCTACGGCGAAGCGGGGACCCTTTTAAAAATCACAGGCGGATGAAGCCTGTGACCATGGGACTCGGTGGGCACCTTTAGCGCCCCCCCAACTCGCTAAGGAACCCACTAACGGGCTCCGAAGTGAAGCGGGGGAAGTGGCGCGGTGCTGTGAGTCAACTGCTATTTCCGTGGAGCGAAGCCGCACAGCCGTTGCCGGAGAGCGCTGCCTTTTTCCTGGGACAATTCGAAGTCTAAAATAAGCACCCGTGAGTACTTAGACTTTGAACAACTGGACATTAGATAAGGACTTGCGAGCAGAAAGGAATTGGATTTTTAAAACCTATTTAAATTTGGTACGGATCGGGAAGGTTTAAACAGGAAGTCAGCCTTCCGTTCTTCTGTAAAGCAAAGCCAACGTAAACTAGAGCTTAGAAAATTGCCTTTAAAGGATTGGATTTCATCATTTAAAATTGTGGACCCCCCTTCGACAGCAGGAGAAGGAGGGGGATCTTTTCCGGACTGTTTAAAGTGAGTTTAAAGTAAAGTAACTTTCCTCTGTCCTGATCCTGGAGCGGGGTGTCAGGACTGACGTTTGAAGTTCATTGACCAGAGACAAGCGTTCTTGACAGATAGCTAAAAGAAGAGAAACATAGCGATTCCACTGCTTCCCTTCGCATCTTTAAGCAACAAATATTGACAAAGTATCTCAAAAAGGGAAACTTTGTTGCAAGAACAAATATAAGTTTTCCCCCTAGAGGGAGACTGTGTAACTGTAACCAACTCCAGGGAGCCGGCAGCTGTTACAGATAACAATCCTGGGAACAGGCATTTGACCTTGCAGGACAATGTATTCAGAAGCTTTGTTGTGTGCTTTCTATAAAACAAATGCCCTACTGGAACAATTACATGAAAAGGTGAATTGGATGGCGACTTCGACTAGAAATTTCAAACAGGCAGTGGGAAATTTTGAACAGACAGTGGGAAAATATGTGGAGCCCACTCAGGAATTAAATCAGGAGTGTGTCCTGACAGAACAGGCCCAACAGGAATATGAGTTTTCGGATTTGACAAATGAACTTGGAAAAAGCCAGATTTGGAAAGAAAAAGTTTGGTTTGGCTTGGAAATGGGGGGCTGGATTGACCCCCCTATGCTGGGATGTTTGGACTTTTCAAATCTGGCAATGGGCCGTGAGATGTTTGGGATTGTGGGGGCTCTTAATTTTGGAGGGTCTTTGAAACATGCTTTTAAATACCATATGGAATTCAGTGTTGAATATGGAAAAGGGGCTGACCTGTCGAGAAGGGTTAAAAATATTGCCAAGCTGGAGTTACCACGAGCAGGAGATAAGGGAAAATACAGTTACAAATATGAAGAAGAGCTGCGGAAGGGACATGAGGGCCTCGGATATAAGGCTGCCAGGTTAATGGGCTAGATCGACGGGATAATAAGGACTGACAAAACCCGGAACCAGGAGGAAGGGACGTTGGATGAAGATTGGATTTGTTTGTATTTCTTTTTTCTACCATTAGAACTGTTTTATAAAATTGATGAATGTTAGAAAAATGTTGGAATGAAATTACTTGGCTTTAGTAAAGATGTTTAAAGAATTATGAAAGAATATTATGGTTATGAGAAGTTGGTAAGGATAAGATTTAAGTTTCAAGCTTTAAGGTTTATTTTATTATAGAAAGATAAGATTAAAACAGTTTAGGGTAATGTAATGACAGAATATTATGAAACATGGGAAGGATTTGCTGGGATAATTAATAACTAGGATACAAAGAAAGGGAGGAGGAGGAGGTCAAAGAAAGAAGGTAATGACAGTTGAGGATTTGAGAATAATGAATTTGTTTTTAAATGTTTTTTAATTGTGTGTGATGTATTTCTGTATTTTCTTTTTTGTGTGTCACTTTTTCTTATCTTTGAATTTGTATTCATACGGTTGGAAGAGGTTTGTTTTTTTTTTTCGTTTTTTTTTCTACTTTGTTAATTATTTTTATTTTGTATTTTCTACTGCTTTTATTTTATTTGGTAACACTTTGAAAATTTCAATAAATATCTTATAAAAAAAACAAAACAAAAGGTTTTGTGGTTACCCTGTCAGACCTAGGATAAGAGCACGTCTGAACCTTGGCTTTCTTGAAGGCCCTGCATTCCAGATACAGTGGTGCCCCGCAAGACGAATGCCTCGCAAGACGGAAAACCCGCTAGACGAAAGGGTTTTCCGTTTTGGAGGTGCTTCGCAAAACGAATTTCCTATGTGCTTGCTTCGCAAGACGAAAATGTCTTGCGAGTTCCTGCGGGGTTTCCCCCCCCCCCTTTTTCCCAAGCCGCTAAACCGCTTATCAGCTGATGGCTAAGCCGCTTAACAGCTGATGCTAAGCCGCTTATCAGCTGATCCTTAAGCCGCTTATCAGCTTATCGTTAAGCCGCTTATCAGCTGATGTTAAGCCGCTTATCAGCTTATCGTTAAGCCGCTTATCAGCTGATCCACTAAGCCTGCTAAGCCGCTAATACTGTAGCACTAATCCGCTAAACCACTAATGGGCTTGCTTCGCAAGACGAAAAAACCCGCAAGACGAAGAGACTCGCGGAACGGATTCTTTTCGTCTTGCGAGGCACCACTGTATTTGTCACATGCCTTCATCTTGCACCCCTCAGTGCACCCTGGGACCTTCTTCACGTACCCCCACTTGACATGTGACGTTCTCTGGTGCCAAATGCCATGATGGCACCCATCATGAATGGGAACGTTACCACACTGTGCTTGTGCATCCTCAGTGGGACCTTTACCTGCAATAGGCGTTTCTAGCACAATCAGCCTGTCTTTGCACTCAACACTGACCAGTTGTCGCCCACCTCTGGAAATGAAATGCACATTATTTTCAAAACACACTTTGAACCCATCATGGACAAGAGGGAAACAGAAAGCAAACAGCACTGCATCTCTGGAACGACATAGGCCTCAATCTCCGCCTGTAAAAAAGAACAATAAACAGAGCCAGACTTAGCGCTTGGAACCATCTGCAAGAGTTACACTTTTTCCAGTTTTCACAGTCTTGCAGTTCCACAAAAAACCACTAGATGGCGATGGCATGAGGTGGTGACTGGCCCCACTGTCAATCACCCAGCTCAGCCCGTGGCCCTGGTCGCAGTTTTTCACTGTTGCCATAGCAGCAGCCAAATGATGCTGTGACGACATGTCTCTGCCAGTTCCCTTGGGACCTTTGAAAGGCTTCCCACGCTTGGCAGCTCCTGTTATCTGGTTGCCAAAGAAAATGGCCTTGGAGACATCCTGTCCCTCCACTGGACAATTCTGGACCAGGTGGAAATCAGAGCCGCACCGGAAACGTTGGGAAGAAAAAGCTTTCATGGTTTCTGAAGGAATGGGTTTCTGTGTAGTAAGTTTAAAAACTGACTCAACCCCCCCCCTTTGTTCTTTCAAAAGAGAGCACTTTTAAATGCGTAAAACTTGAACTGTTGAGCAAAACCATAATAAGGACAGAACTGCATAAACAGTTCTCTCCTTTATCAGGACAGGCAAGGGATGGCCTTGGCCCTCCAGGGGAACAAAGAAAACACGTCAGAACTTTATCTTATGTGCTGACCACAAAATACATGCAAGACCAATGTCCGGGGAAAATGCCAAAAGCGTGTTCCCGGAGATTATGACGTCTTCCCAGATAAGAGTAGGAAGAGGAAGATCCTTTTATGGTCAGAAGTACAGGAAGGAAGATCCTTTTATGGTTGAGAGTACCAGAGCAGGAACATATGTGATGTCAACCTGCGTATACAAGTTGACGTGGCTGGGGAAGGGGGAGAGGATGCCTGGAGGATATATATACTGCATGAAACTTGTCATTTCTTTGGACTAGTCGTGGACTTGATCGCACAAGTGCCTTCTGCTATCCGGAGAACAGAATAAACTCTTTCTTTGAATCCACCTCGGTGTCGTTTTGACTTCCTTCCTCCTGTTCAGGAGCAACGCAGACCCAATCGGTGAACTCCAATAAGGCTACAGTTCACTTCTCTCTTCTCCCTTCTCCCTTCACCCCCACTCTGGGCCTGCTCACCCTCCAGCTTTCTGCCTGTAATGCCTATAATGGCAGCAACTTTTTAAAGCAGTAATATTTTGAGCCCATAGTTCAGTTTCCCAGCAGCTCCCCTTGCCCTGGAGAACACTTCTAGCATTCCATCTCTTCTACCTGTGGCATTGTTCAGCAGTGGGAAAAGTGACCTCTTCACAACGGATGTCCATTTGGTATGGCCCTTTCCAGGTTTTTGCCTGCTCATTGTGTTAGTCTTTCATTTGTTCTCCTCTGCGTGTTGCCAGTAGAAGCCACAATTCTGTGGGTACTCTAAGTGGCGCAGAAAGCACCTAGAAGCTGACTAGAGGTTGACGTGCCAATCAAACTTCAGTTTTGTGCTCTATTAATTCCAATTAGTAGTACTGGGGATGGTTCAGATTCTGGGGCAGTGCTTTTGGCCAGCGGAGGGTGTCACAGGGCCAGCCTACTTTCCCTTTAAAGCAAACTTGGGTCTCTAGCTGTTTTTGGACTACAACTCCCATCACCCCTAGCTAGCAAAGCAATTGGGAAGGGATTATGGGAACTGTAGTCTGGGAGCTGCTGGGGACCTAAGCTTGGGAAAGCCTGCTTTAAAGCAACTTTTCCATTTTGCCCACAAAGATGAGAAGGGTATATGTTTGTATTTTCTTTTCCTCATGACCTTTCTGTGTTTGTTTGTTTGTTTGTTTGTTTGTTTAAGAGGGCAAATTGAAAGAGAAATTGTATGGCAAGTAGCGGAAGAATAAAAGGTTGCGTTTGGAAAAAAAGAAAAAGACCCCTGGGGGGTGGCCTCCTTAAATATTTTATTGGGGGGAAGACGCCTAGGTCTTTAAGCATTGGCTCCTATTCCTACACCAACAGGTGTAGTTACAACATACAAACACAAAACACCGCATGTTAAAAAGGCATTAGATGTCAATTAGCGAAAGGCCTGGTAATAAAGTTGCGAATTTCCTGGCTCCTAAAGCTGTAAAATGGTATTCCCGACCTTTGTATGGATTCTTTGATGGGAAGTGAGAGTCTGATTGTGACTGAAGCTCTTTCCACATTCCACACACTGATATGGTTTCTCCCCTTTATGAATTCTTTTATGGGAAGTGAGAGAGGAGCTATGCCTGAAGCTCTTTCCACATTCGACACACTGATAGGGTTTTTCCCCTGTATGAATTCTTTGATGGGAGATGAGTTGGGAGCTCTGACTGAAGCTCTTTCACATACCACACACTGATAGGGTTTCCCCCCTGTATGAATTCTTTGATGGGAAGTGAGAGAGGAGCTATCAGTGAAGCTCTTTTCACATTCCACACACTGATAGGGTTTCTCCCCTGTATGAATTCTTTTATGGGAAGTGAGATCGGAGCTCTGACTGAAGCTCTTTCCACATTCCACACACTGATAGGGTTTTTCCCCTGTATGAATTCTTAGATGAGAAGTTAGAATGTCCTGCGTCCTGAAGCTCTTTCCACATTCCACACACTGATAGGGTTTCTCCCCTGTATGAATTCTTTGATGGGAAGTGAGATTGTAGCTCCGACTGAAGCTCTTTCCACATTCCATGCACTGATAGAGTTTCTTTCCAATGAGATTTTGTTGATGGGAAGTGGAATGGGAGCTCTGACTGCAGCTTTCTCCACACTTCAAATTTTTACGTGGCTTCTCCTCTCCGGGCATTTTATCGTGGTCACCTTTGTTCTCAATTTCCGATTCATTACAATCTGCAATGGAGACAAAAAGGGATTAGAGCCTCAGGAACAAATGGAGAAGAACTGAAGGGAGTTGGGGGGGTGTTCATTACCTGTGTTGTTTGTCATTAACCATCATATTTATTATTATATTCTGATGAGTTGTTGAATGTTGGTTTGTTTGATATATAGTAGTGGTCAAAATTGTGGAAGACTTTTGGAAAAAAGTGTATTTCAGAGGTTTGATGGCTCATAACACCACTTCTTTTGGAATAATATCATAAAATAATATATCAATGGAAAGATAATTTAATCAAGACTGCAATTCAACAAAGGTTGTTCAATTACCCATATTCTATCAAACGTTATAGCCAAATAACCAGAAAAAGGAAGCACAACTTGCTTAGGTTCACTTTTGTCAGTGTGTTATGTGATTGCTATCAAGTTGGTTGGGGGTTTTTTTGTTCTTTCATTTAGTGAGGTTGTAAAACATAATAAAATTATAGAAATGGCACAAAGAATTAGGATATAGTTCCGTTCCACCTTAAGAGAGTCAGGCATGATTGTTGTGTGTCACATGCCTGTTTACTTCCTGGTCACTGGGAGTTTCCATTTTGTATATAGCTTTTGTTCCGGCTGTTTTCCTGGACATGGAGGCAAGCAGTCATGTTTTTCTTTTGTTCTGATCTACATTGAATAAAGCTGTAAATATGCTCTCCTGTCAGCATCTTCTGTTGTAGAAACTCTGCCATGCACAAGGGTGTGCACAAGTCTTGGACTGTGTCTGAGGCTCGTGTCGCTAATTGACTGATGCTGTCCTATGGGAGACCGGGAGATTGTCCGGAGACGACGTGGAGGCTGCCTGATGGCCACGTCTCCTTGGCAGTATCCCAACAGACTTGTCACCCAGAAAGCGATGTAAAATTGTACTATTAAGTGAACAAGGCTACAGTTCTGAATAGATTAGATGAAAGATTGGGAAAAACTTAACCAAAGCTGGCATTTCTATATTATTGAAGAGGTATAAGGAGACTCAGCCACTACAAAATCAGACTGGTAAAGGCAGGAAAACATGCACAAAGGCAAATGAAGATCAAAGAATGGAGAGACTGTCCCAACCTGACAGAAGAAAATCATCTTGGTGTATACAAGATCACGTGGCGAGATGTAATGTGAAGTTGAGTGCAAGGACTGGTCTAAATGTTAGAATTCTAAGGAAAAAGCCATTGTTATCTCTAAAGCATGAGTTTGACCAAACTGCGGGAGGCAGTGGAAGACAGGAGTGCCTGGCGTGCTCTGGTCCATAGGGTCACAAAGAGTCTTACACAACTAAAGAAAATCTCTCAAGCAAAGGTTGAAAAGATTAAACCCATGTTAACTGGACAGTGGAACAATGGGACAGTGTTATTTGGAGGGATGAGACTCAAATCTCCTTGCTTGGTAGTGATGGCATGAAATACACAAGGGGAAATCAGAGTAGATTTACATGCTACTTGCATTACACCGACCGTGAAACACCCAGATAGTGTGATGATCTGGGGTGGTATGGCAGCAAAAGGTGTTGTCAGAATTTTCGTCATTAATGGGAATGTAAATGCCCCCAAATATATAATTGAAATACTTTAGCCCAAACTGAAGGCTTCCACAGGTGATCTTTACCCAGATACTGAAGCATTTAAACATATTTATATAAATAATTATTTATATATTTATTTTCTATTTCAACAGGATTCAGCTCCATGTCATGTTGCTGCTGTGTGCAAAAGGTGCTTTCAAGATAATCCTATTCCATTGCTGGAATGGCTTGGGAATAGCCCAAACATTAACCCAAATCAGAAATCTATGGAGCCAACTAAAGAAACTTGTTTGTTAGAAGCAATCCAGCAATAAAGCCCAATTAACAGAGGCAATAATTCAATCTTGGTTTCACATTCTTACAGCTGCAGAACCTTACTAGCTAGCAGGAACAATGGGGAGGGATGATGGGAACTGTAGTCCAGGAGCTGCTGGGGACCCAAGTTTGGGAAACCTTGCTTCAAAGCAACTTCTGCGCTTCACCCGCAAAGATGGGACCTGTCCACGTTTGTATTTTCTTGCATTTTGTTTTCCTCATGACCTTTGTGAGTTTATTTTTTAATTTTTTAAGAGAAGAATAAAAGGTTGTGTTTGAAAAAACACACACCAAAAACTTGGGGGTGGCATCCTTAAATATTTTATTGGGGGTGGGGCAAAGACCCCTAGGCCTTTAAGAGTTGGCGCCTATTCCCTACACCCACAGGTCTCAGGATGGTTACAACATAAAACACAACATGAAAACACAAAACATCACATGTTAAAAGGGCATTACATTTTTTTTTCAAAAAATTATTTATTAATGTTCTTATGTTACATTGGTAAACATTATCATGTAACATCACAAGGCTTATTATACTATAATTTTCAACAAGTATACAAAGTTTATATGCTAAAAGAAAAAGAAAACAAGGACAAAAAATTATTCCAAAATCATATATGTACCAACACTTTGGACTTCCTGTGAATCCCGTTGTATATTCCTTTTTCACAAAAGAGTGTGCTCTTATTACTGTATATTTCTTTACATTTTATCTAATACATTCCTATATCAATATGTACCCTTTGTCTTATTTCTCAACTCAGTCTCTTTCCAACGCCAATTGAATGCTAGCATAGATAGCGAACCATTACTGTATTTTTGAACATATATCTATCCCACTTTTCCATAAATTTTTGTTTTGAATTGCCTCTCAGGCTATTTGTCAACTGCATTTCAGCAAATTCTTGTAGCTTGTTATGCCAGTCCGTTATTGTCGGGACTTCTTCTTCCTTCCACCCCTTTCGCACCAAAGTCCAAGCTGCAGCCGTTGCATATAAGAATACCTCCCTAAAGGCATCCGGGATGTCCCTGCCAACAATACTTAACAGAAATCCCTCTGGTCTTTTTAGAAAGGTTATTCCAAACATTTTTTAAAACTCATCATAAATTAAGGCCCATAACACTTTGATTTTCATACACGTCAATTAGCCAAAGGCCTGGATTCTAAAGCTGTATAATGGTTTGTCCCACCTTTGTATGGATTCTTTGATGGGAAGTGAGATTGGAGCTATCAGCGAAGCTCTTTCAACATTCCACACACTGATAAGGTTTCTCCACTGTGTGAATTATTTGATGGGAAGTGAGAGAGGAGCTCTGACTGAAGCTCTTTCCACATTCCACACACTGATAGGGTTTCTCCCCTGTATGAATCCTTTGATGGGAAGTGAGAGAGGAGGTATGAGTGAAGCTCTTTCCACATTCCACACACTGATACGGTTTCTTGCCTGTATGAATTCTTTGATGGGAAGTGAGATGGGAGCTCTGACGGAAGCTCTTTCCACATTCCACACACTGATAGGGTTTTGCCACTGTATGAATTCTTTGATGGGAAGTGAGATGGTGGCTGTGACTGAAGCTCTTTCCACATTCGACACACTGATAAGGTTTCTCCCCTGTATGAATTCTTTTATGGGAAGTGAGAGCGGAGCTCTGATTGAAGCTCTTTCCACATTCCACACACTGATAGGGTTTCTCCCCTGTATGAATTCTTTGATGGGAAGTGAGATTGTGGCTGTGACTGAAGCTCTTTCCACATTCGACGCACTGATAAGGTTTCTCCCCTGTATGAATCCTTTGATGGGAGGTGAGAGAGGAGCTATCAGTGAAGCTATTTCCACATTCCACACACTGATAGGGTTTCTCCCCTGTATGAATTCTTTGATGGGAAGTGAGCTCGTAGCGTGTCCTGAACCTCTTTCCACATTCGACACACTGATAGGGTTTTCCCCCTGTATGAATTCTTTGATGGGAAGTGAGAGAGGAGCTATCATTGAAGCTCTTTCCACATTCCACACACTGATAGGGTTTCTCCCCTGTATGAATTCTTTGATGGGAAGTGAGAGAGGACCTATCAGTGAAACTCTTTCCACATTCCACACACTGATAGGATTTCTCCCCTGTATGAATTCTTTGATGGGAAGTGAGATTCTGGCTGCGACTGAAGCTCTTTCCACATTCCACGCACTGATAAGGTTTCTCCCCTGTATGAATTCTTTGATGGGAAGTGAGAGCAGAGCTCTGACTGAAGCTCTTTCCACATTCCACACACTGATAGGGTTTCTCCCCTGTATGAATTCTTTGATGGGAAGTGAGCTCGTAGCGTGTCCTGAACCTCTTTCCACATTCGACACACTGATAGGGTTTTTCCCCTGTATGAATTCTTTGATGGGAAGTGAGAGAGGAGCTATCATTGAAGCTCTTTCCACATTCCACACACTGATAGGGTTTCTCCCCTGTATGAATTCTTTGATGGGAAGTGAGATGGGAGCTCTGACGGAAGCTCTTTCCACATTCCACACACTGATAGGGTTTCTCCCCTGTATGAATTCTTTGATGGGAAGTGAGATTGGAGTTCTGACTGAAGCTCTTTTCACATTCCATGCACTGATAGATTTTCTTTCCAATGAGATTTTGTTGATGGGAAGTGGAATGGGAGCTCTGACTGCAGCTTTCTCCACACTCCAAATTTTTACCTGGCCTCTCCTCTCTGAGGATTTTGTCACAGTCACCTTTGTTCTCGCTTTCCAATTCATCAGAATCTGCAATGGAGACAAAAAGGGATAAGAGCCTCCGGAATAAATGGAGAAGAACTGAAGGGAGTTGTGTCATGTGACAAAGACACATGAGAGCAGAAACAGGAAACAGGCTGGGAGGTGCTGGGACTGGACAATCATTTGGGTCTACTACAGTCATTCAGGCCTAACTGCTAACTGTTGAGTCACTCTGACATGTGACTTGGCAGCCATTTTCTCTCTGTGTTCTCTGTAAGATTTCAGTCAGAGTCAGTCCGCCTCAGTTGTGAGCAGAGTCAGTATGTAATCTCAGTCAAACTGTTTGGAACCATGTTTTTTATAAGTTAATTTTAACTCAGTAATGCTCTTATTCTTTCACTTAAAAACTCTGCATTATTAATTTACACTGTGCGTCAAATTGGGTGTGTGTTTATTACCTGTGTTGTTTGTCATTAACCAACATATTCATTATTGGATTCTGATGAGTTGTTGAATGTTGCTTTCTTTGATACACAGTAGTGTATCCCCTTCATGTATCACTGCCTTGCCGTGGCGAAGGGACTTGAATAACTCAGAGAAGCTATGCAAAGAAATAGAGGAAAACAATAGAATGGAAAAAGCAGAGATCTGTTCAAGAAAATTGGAGATATGAAAGGAACACTTTGTACAAAGATTATCATAATAAAGGACAAAAGTGGTAAGGACCTAACAGAAGCTGAAGACATCAAGAAGAGGTGGCAAGAATACACAGAAGGAATTATGCCAGAAAGATATGAATGTCTCATACACCCCAGGTAGTGTGGTTGCTGACCTTGAGCCTGACATCCTGGAGAGTGAAGTCAAATGGTCCTTAGAAAGCACTGCTAATAGCAAGGCCAGTGGAAGTGATGATATTCCAGATGAACTATTTAAAATTTTAAAAGATGATACTGTTAAGCTGCTACACTCAATATGCCAGCAAGTTTGGAAAACTCAGCAGTGGCCAGAAGATTGGAGAAGATCAGTCTACAACCCAATCCCAAAGAAGGTCAGTGCCAAAGAATGCTCCAACTACTGCACAATTGCACTCAAATCACACGCTAGCAAGGTTATGCTTAAAATTCTACAAGGCAGGCTTAAGCAGTATGTGGACCGAGAACTCCCAGAAGTGCAAGCTGGATTTCGAAGGGGCAGAGGAACCAGAGACCAAATTGCAAACATGCGCTGGATTATGGAGAAAGCTAGAGAGTTCCAGAAAGACATCTACTTCTGCTTCATTGACTATGCAAAAGCCTTTGACTGTGTCGACCACAGCAAACTATGGCAAGTTCTTTAAAAATATATATATATTTATTGATAATTTCAAAATTACAAGAAAAGGGAAAAATCAAAAACAACACTACAATACAAAAAAGAAGAGAAAACAATAAAAAAGAGAAAAGCACAAAATATGAAAACCAATACCACAATACAGCAAAAGAAAGAAAAAAAGAAGAAAAAAGGAAAAAAAACACAAATCCCAAATTGCATATCCATAATTTCCATTTGCTTGTTTCATTGACCTCCTCACACCTCCCTTTTTGTGTTCTAGTTTAGTAATTATTTCAGCAAATTCTTTCCATCTTTCTCAATTTTTGTTATAAAATTTATCTTAACAATTTAACCTAATAATTATCTCAACAAATCCTTACCATCTTTCCCCATATTCTGTTATTCAGATTACCTTAATTTATTTAACCTTATCTTACCCCTAAGTGCCTTAAGACTTAAATCTTAAATTTCAAATATACATAGCTCCTGATATCATTTCTGCTAGAGTCATATAGTTTCATTCCCACATTTCCCCTAATATTCGTTAGCTGATTCTAAAATAAAAAATTTCCATTATAAATTCTCTTCCAATCATCATCCAGCGTCTCTTCTTCCTGATCTCGGGTCATGTCAGTCCTTATTGTCCATTCCATCTAGTCCATCAACCTGGAAGCCTTATGTCCGAGGCCCTTAAATCTCTTCCATGTCCCTTTTGCAGTTCTTCTTCATCTTGTTTGTACTTGCCCTTTTCCTTGTCTCTTGTTGGTCTCTGTCTTAGTTTCTTTCCTTTCTCATTGAGGAGTAGGTCTCGGGGGATTCCAACCCAAAATTGTCTCCATCACCCTTCATCCAGCTCACCCGTTCCCCACAGTCCCACTCCCCACAGTCCTCGATATAATCCAAAATGAATTTAAAATCAAATTTCAAGGTCTCTCCAAAGCTAGGAACCTCCTCATCTCCAGACTCCCCTTGGCCCACTCCAACTTCAATCTTCAATAACAGCGGCTTATGCTCCTGTAGGGCCTCAGGTCTCTCCATTTGTACTATTTGAGGTGCAGCCGCAACCACCTCCATTGTCATCTGCACTTGCCCAGTCAGTACAGATTCATAGATTGGTCCCTGGATGATTTCTGTATCAATGTTCCCTGTTTGTCCACAGTTATTAACCACAACAGTCAAATCCATTTTCTCATTCATCAAGTCCATCTTCTCATGCATCTGTTCCAACAAAGCATTTGTCTTGCATAGAGCAAGCACCCAGTCTTTCTCCCAGCTCATCTTTGTTCAAGGTCAGAAAAGACTGTTCCCACAGTCTTAATCTCACAGATGTTGGGTCTCAAATATGCTGCAACAACAATTTAGCAAGCTCCCTCTAGAGGAGACAATCTACTTGCATCCATATTTTTTTTTTGAAGACAAAGGAAAGTTACTTTCATTTTCCAGATATTTCAGATGTTTTTCAGATATTTTGTTTCTTTAAGATGCAAAAGGCAACAATAGAATCAACTTGTTTCTCTTCATTAGCTATCTGTCAAAGTGTTACGTTCACAGTCAATGAACCTCTCCAACAGTTTCTGTCTCTGACGCCCGGTTTCCAGGTTAGAGACGGTGGAAACTTATACTTCTTCACTCCCTCTCCTGCTGGGGTTAAACAGAGTCCCCCCCCCTTTTCTCCTGCTTCCAAGGGGGGTTTCAGTGATTCTAAATGAAGGAAATTTAGTCCTTTTTTAACAGCTTCCCGGCTTTAGCTTGCAAAATTTTTGCTTTAGTCTATATACAAAAAAGCGGAAGGCGGACTTCCTGTTTGCACCTTCCCGCTTCGATACCAAATTAAAACAATTTATTGATCCAATTTTCCGTTTCTACTCACGGGTACTTGTTTTAAGTCCAATTGTCCACAGGAAAAAGTCAGCGCTCTCTGGCAATGGCTGTGCGGCTTCACTCCGTGAAAGTAGCAGTCAGTTCGTAGCACCGCGCTTCTCACCCCACTTCGCTCCGGAGCCCCTAGATGGGATTCCCTGCGAGTAGGGGAGCGCTTCTGGTGCCCTGCCGAACCCCACGTTCCCAGGCTTCCTCCGCCTGGGATTTCTAGCGGGTCCCCACCTTCGCCGCGGCGGGAAGACCCAGTTTTCACGGAGCCCGTTCCTCCGGTCGGAGGAACTCCGCCATTCACCAATGGCGCTGACCCGGAAGTCCAAACTATGGCAAGTTCTTAAAGAAATGGGAGTTCCTGATCACCTCATCTGTCTCCTGAGAAATCTCTATGTGGGACAAGAAGCTATAGTTAGAACTGAATATGGAACAACTGATTGGTTCAAAATTGGGAAAGGAGTACAACAAGGCTGTATATTGTCGCCATGCTTATTTAACCTACATGCAGAATTCATCATGCAAAAGGCTGGGCTGGATGAATCCCAAGCCAGAATTAAGATTGCCAGAAGAAATATCAAATATGCAGATGACACAACCTTGATGGCAGAAAGTGAGGAGGAATTAAAGAACCTTTTATTGAGGGTGAAAGAGGAGAGCGCAAAATATGGTCTGAAGCTCAACATCAAAAAAAGAAGATCATGGCCACTGGTCCCATCACCTCCTGGCAAATAGAAGGGGAAGAAATGGAGGCAGTGAGAGATTTTACTTCCTTGGGCTCCATGATCACTGCAGATGGTGATAGCAGTCATGAAATTAAAAGACACCTGCTTCTTGGGAGAAAAGCAATGACAAACCTAGACAGCATCTTAAAAAGCAGAGACATCACCTTGCCAACAAAGGTCCATATAGTTAAAGCTCTGGTTTTCCCAGTAGTGATGTATGGAAGTGAGAGCTGGACCATAAAGAAGGCTTATCACCGAAGAATGGATGCTTTTGAATTATGGTGCTGGAGGAGACTCTTGACAGTCCCATGGACTGCAAGAAGATCAAACCTCTCCATTCTGAAGGAAATCAGCCCTGAGTGCTCACTGGAAGGACAGATCCTGAAGCTGAGGCTCCAATACTTTGGCCACCTCATGAGAAGAGAAGACTCCCTGGAAAAGACCCTGATGTTGGGAAAGATGGAGGGCACAAGGAGAAGGGGACGGCAGAGGACGAGATGGTTGGATAGTGTTCTCGAAACTACCAGCATGAGTTTGACCAAACTGCGGGAGGCAGTGGAAGACAGGGGAGATTCTGATGAGTTGTTGAATGTTGGTTTGTTTGTTGGTCAAAATTCTGGAAGCCTTTTGGAAAAAAAGGTTTGATGGCTCATAACACCACTTCTTTTGGAGTAATATTATAAAGTCATATATCAGTGGGAATATAATTTAATCAAGAATGCAATCCAAGAAAGTTTGTTCAATTATCTGTATTCTATCAAACGTTATAGCCAAATAAGCAGAAAAAGGAAGCACAACTTGCTTAGGTTGACTTTTGTCAGTGTCTGATGTGATTGCTAACAAGTTGGTTGGTTTTCTGTGTTCTTTCATTTAGTGAGGTTGAAAAACATAATAAAATTAAAGAAATGGCACAAAGAGTTGACTAAATCCTTAAACCTGTTCCTCACTTCCACTGTGTATTCATAAGGGATTTGGTTTAGATTGTATCTTACCGGCCCAGTGGTTTTTCCTACTTTCTTCAGTTTAAGCTTGAATTTTGCTATAAGAAGCTGATGATCTGAGCCACAGTCAGCTCCAGGTCTTGTTTTTGCTGACTGTATAGAGTTTCTCCATCTTTGGCTGCAGAGAATATAATCAATCTGATTTCGATGCTGCCCATCTGGTGATGTCCATGTGTAGAGTCGTCTCTTGTGTTGTTGGGAAAGCGTGTTTGTGATGACCAGCTTGTTCTCTTGACAGAACTCTATTAGCCTTTGCCCTGCTTCGTTTTGCTCTCCAAGGCCAAACTTGCCAGTTGCTCCTTTTATCTCTTGATTCCCTACTTTAGCATTCCAATCCCCTATAATGAGAAGAACATCCTTCTTTGGTGTCACTTCAATAAGGTGTTGTAAGTCTTCATAGAATTGGTCAATTTCAGTTTCTTCAGCACCAGTGGTTGGTGCATAAACTTGGATTACTGTGATGTTAAAAGGTCTGCCTTGGGTTCGTATCGAGATCATTCTATCATTTTTGAGATTGCATCCCAGTACAGCTTTCACCACTCTTTTGTTGACTATGAGGGCCACTCCATTTTTTTTATGGGTTTCTTGCCCACAGTAGTAGATATGATGGTCATCCGAACTGAATTTGCCCATTCCCGTCCATTTTAGTTCACTGAGGCCCAGGATGTCAATATTTATTCTTGCCATCTCATTTTTGATCACATCCAACTTACCAAGGTTCATGGTTCTTACATTCCAGGTTCCTATGCAATATTTTTCTTTACAGCATTGGACTTTCCTTTCGCTTCCAGGCATATCCGCAACTGAGCGTCCTTCTGGCTTTGGCCCAGCTGCTTCATCAGCTCTGAATCTACTTGTACTTGTCCTCCACTCTTCCTCAGTAGCATGTTGGACGCCTTCCGACCTGAGGGGCTCATCTTCCAGCGTCATAACTTTTATATGCCTGTTGTCTTTGTCCATGGAGTTTTCTTGGCAGGGATACTGGAGTGGCTTGCCGGTTCCTGCTCTAGGTGGATCACGTTTGGTCAAAACTCTCCACTATGACCTGTCTATCTTGGGTGGCCCTGCTCAGCATAGTTCATAGCTTCTCTGAGTTATTTAAGCCCCTTCGCCACGGCAAGGCAGTGATCCATGAAGGGGAAAGTGGTGTTATGAGCCATCAAACCTCAGAAATACACTTTTCACAAAAGGTTTCCACAATTTTGGCCACTAGTAGAAGTTGTTCATTTTAAAGTTAATGTTCTTTTTATATGGAATCAGATTATTGTTATTTATGTTTCATGATTATATATGTGTTGGAAGCCGCCCAGAGTGGCTGGGGCAACCCAGCCAGATGGGCAGGGTAGAAATAAAAATTATTATTATTATTATTATTATTATTACAGTGGTACCTCGATTTAATAACTGTCCTGTTCTGGAAAAGATTAAGTTTGTAAACCGAGGTACCACTGTATCATCATCCTCATCACTGCTACTACTACCTGAGATTCCATAAGCCTAGCTCTTCTCTGGGATGGATTTTGTTTGGCCCAGTCATGGCATTCCCTCCACTCCCAATGTCAGTCCTTGTTATGGCTTGGTCTCTCCCCCAAACGTGAGAGGACTCTGGCTGTTAATACCGTATTTTTCGCTCTATAACACGCCCCCAAACATAACACGCACGTAGTTTTTAGAGGAGGAAAATCCGTAGGCAAGCCACCCATAGGCATTCCCTCCATAACATGCACAGACATTTCCCCTTACTTTCTAGGAGGAAAAAAGTGAGTGTTATGGTGCAAAAAATACGGTAATTTCAGATTTATTGCTAAAACAACAAACTTGGACGGAGCTCCTCTACTCATCGTCCTCCCCACAAGATGGAGTTGCTCGGACTGAGCTCCTCCCCCTTCCCCAGCACGGAAGCCCCCACCTTCTCTTCCAGTATCTTTAAATTTGGCAGAGAATGCTTCCTGCATTCCAGCGTATGACTCACTCCTGTAGCTCTCACACAGCTGTCTGTCACTCTGTCTCCCTTTTTCTTCTCCCCTTTGTTCAGAGCTCAGATGACAGTTGCTCTCCCCCTCCTCTCTGCCTTCCGCTGCTAACTCTCCTCTCCCTAGGCCTGCTTCTTCTCTGGCTGGCAGCACCTGAGCTTCGCTGCCAGTCGGCTCTTTGGTCAACCCAAGACTGACAGGAGCAAAAACAAAAACCTGAAGCTACTTATTTTTCCTAACAATTCTGAAGCTGACATTGAAGATGGCCTGGGAAGTTCAGACCAGCCCAATCCTGGTAGAAAAAGGAATAATTTGAGGAAGGTTGTTCAAAGAAAAAACTGTAATTAACTCTTTATTGTGAGGGTTTTAGGTTCCCAGGTGTTGTATGGGGTGCTGTTGAGCTCTGTGAAAATATATGAGGTTGGTCCCATAGAGGTATTTTTTGAATTTCCAGGCAGATATGACGATCCCACAGTGAGCCTTACCAAGAGAGGCCAATATCCCACGATTCTCCTCCATGACGTCCTTATGCAGAGCTCTCTGGTCAGGATCCAGCAACGCCCACTCCTCATCCGTGAAACGAACAGCAACATCTTCAAAGCACACTGGATCCTAAAAGGAAAAGGGAAATGTCCTCCTCTGAGACAGCAGAAATATGATCTGCTACACAATGCTCTATTGTTTCTTTCCTGTTAATAATATTAATAATAATAATTTATTTATACCCTGCCCATCTGGCTGGGTTTCCTCAGCCAGAACTCTGGGCGGCTTCCAACAAAACACTAAAATACAATAATCTACTCAACATTAAAAGCTTCCCTAAACTGGGCTGCCTTTAGATGTCTTCTAAAAGTTTGGTAGTTATTTTTCTCTTTGACATCTGGTAGGAGGGCATTCCACAGGGCGGGTGCCACTACCAAGAAGGCCCTCTGCCTGGTTCCCTGTAACTTGGCTTCTTGCAGCGAGGGAACCGCCAGAAGGCCCTCGGCGCTGGACCTCAGTGTCTGGGCAGAACAATGGAGGTGGAGACGCTCCTTCAGGTATACTGGACCAAGGCCATTTAGGGCTCTAAAGGTCAGCACCAACACTTTGAATTCTGCTCGGAAACATACTGGGAGCCAATGCAGGTCTTTCAGGACCAGTGTTATGTGGTCTTGGCGGCCACTCCCAGTCATCAGTCTAGCTGCCGCATTTTGGATTAGTTGTAGTTTCCGGATCACCTTCTAAGATAGCCCCACATAGAGCGCATTGCAGTACTCCAAGCGAGAGATAACCAGAGCATGCACCACTCTGGTGAGACAGTCTGAGGGCAGGTAGGGTCTCAGCCTGCGTAACAGATGGAGCTGATAAACGGCTGCCCTGGACACACAATTGACCTGTGCCTCCATGGACAGCTGCGAGTCCAGAATGACTCCCAGGCTGCGCACCTGGCCCTTCAGGGGCACAGTTACCCCATTCAGGACCAGGGAGTCCCCCACACCTGCCCGCCTCTTGTCCCCCCAAAACAGTACTTGTGTCTTGTCAGGATTCAACCTCAATCTGTTAGCCGCCATCCATCCTCCAACTGCCTCCAGACACTCACAGAGGACCTTCACTGCCTTCACTGGTTCCGAATTGAAAGAGAGGTAGAGTTGGAGGCCAACTGAATGCCCCAATAAGTAGTGATGAAATAAAGGAGATAATAAAGGAACTGAAAAGGGGGAAAGCCCCAGGACCAGACGGATTTACAGCAAGATACTATAAAGAATTGACAGATGTTTTGGTGACACCATTGAAAGAAATTATGAATAATATTTTAAAAGAAAGGGATATTCTGGAAACTTGGAAAGAAGCATTTATTACATTTATCCCCAAACAGGATTCGGACCTAACACAAGTTAAGAATTATAGGCCTATTTCATTATTGAATACAGACTACAAAATATACGCAGGGATTTTAGCGAATAGAATGAAAACGATACTACAAGAAATTATACATAAAGATCAAGCGGGTTTTCTTCCTGGCAGACAGCTGAGAGATAATATAAGAAATATAACAAATATTTTGGAATACCTGACTGCCGGGAACGAAAAACAAGCAATCTTAAAGTTTGTGGACGCAGAGAAGGCCTTTGATAATATTGTATGGGATTTTATGTTGAAGAATTTAGAATATATGGATGTGGGGAAAGAATTCTTTAATGGGATAAAGGCAATATATACAGAACAAAAGGCAAAATTGATTGTCAATAATGTTATTATGGAGGATATAAAAATAACAAAAGGAACTAGACAGGGATGTCCACTTTCACCATTGTTATTTATAACGGTCCTGGAGGTTCTCCTGAGGGCGATTAGACAAAATGACTTAATAAAAGGGGTGACAGTTGGCCAGAATGAATATAAGGTGAAAGCCTTTGTAGATGATCTGGTAATAACAATTGAAGAACCAACAGAAGGTGTAACAGAAGTACTGAAGGAGATGGAGCAATTTGGAACTGTAGCAGGGTTCAGACTAAATAAAAAGAAAACTAAAATAATAGCAAAAAATATGGACCAAACTACGACAGAAATAATGCAACAAAGAACAGAGATAGATGTGGTGAAAAAGGTAAAATATCTGGGAATTTGGTTAACTCCTAAAAACGTTGATTTATTTCAAAACAACTATATTCCGGTGTGGAACGAAATAAAGAAAGACCTGGAAATATGGGGTAGATTGAAGCTATCCTTTTGGGGTAGAATTTCTTCTATAAAGATGAGCGTCCTTCCTAAGATGTTATTTTTGTTTCAGACTACCCCCATAATAAAGGGGGTATCAATATTTACAGAGTGGCAGAGAGTGATATCAAGGTATATCTGGCAGGGCAAGAAGCCAAGAATTAAATTTAAGTTATTAACAGATGTGAAGGAAAGAGGAGGCTTCGCCCTGCCAGATTTGAAACTGTATTATGAAGCAGCTTGTCTCTGTTGGTTGAAAGAATGGATAAAACTAGAAAGTAAGGAATTATTAGATCTCGAAGGCTTTGATAACAGATTTGGATGGCATGCGTATTTATGGTGTGAGAAGAAGAAAATACATAAAGGGTTTGGGAGCCACATATTCCGAGGTCCACTTATAGAAGTATGGGATAGATATAAAAACCTATTAGAACCAAGAGTTCTGCACTGGTTATCTCCGTTAGAGATTATGTCTGTGAAGAAAATAAATATGAGAGGTAATTGGATCACATATGGTGAATTGATGATCAAAGAAGGAGGCAAATGGAAAATAGAACCATATGAGCAAGTTAAGGAATATGTTTACGCTTGGTTGCATTATTTCCAGGTTAATGAAATGTTTAAAAAAGATATTAAAGAAAGTGGTTACACAGAAAAAGATTCAAAGTTTCAAACAGACATAATAAACAATGATTGTAAAATTTTGTCCAAAATGTATAAGATATTATTAGACTGGCATACGAAAGATGAGGAAGTTAAATCGGTAATGATACAATGGGCCAGAGATTTTGGGTATAATATACAATTTGAAGACTGGGAAAAATTATGGAAGGAAAATTTAAGATTTACTGCTTGTACGGCGTTAAAAGAAAATGTTATGAAAATGTTTTACAGATGGTATATCACACCGGTAAAATTAGCAAAAATGTATAAGACCTGTAATAAGCGTTGGAAATGTAAAGAAAAAGAAGTGGTGGGAGTGTAAGAAAGTGAAGGGCTTCTGGGAGATGATATATAATGAAATGAAAAAAATGTTGAAATATACATTTGTTAAGAAACCAGAGGCCCTACTTTTAGGGATTACAGGAAAGGAAATAAGAAAGAATGACTATAAACTTTTCCAATACACAGTTACAGCAGCAAGAATTCTACTGGCCCAGAAGTGGAAACAAGAGGAAATACCGACGAAAGAAGAATGGAGGATGAAATTAACAGACTATGCAGAACTGGACAAATTAACAGGGAAAGTCAGATATTGTCGAGACCAAAAGTTCATCGAGGACTGGGGGAAATTTGTGGAATATCTGAAAAGTACATGTGAAGTACAAACAACGCTAGCGGGTTTTAAAGAAGCACTGTAAAAGCTGAGATATATTGTTAAAAAGAAATGGATGATTGGAGGGAAGACTAATGACAATATAGAACAGAAGAAATGCGTAATTAAGAGTTAAAAATGGATGTTTGTCAGAGAAGCTGAAGGAAGTCCAAAAATGTTAAATTTGTGAAAACTTGGATTAAACTGTATATCTATGTTGGAAAATTAATAAAAAGTATTTTTTTTAAAAAAAGAGAGGTAGAGTTGGGTATCATCCACATACTGATGAGCACCCAGCCCAAACCCCCTGATGATCTCTCCCAGCGGCTGCATGTAGATGTTGAAAAGCATGGGGGAGAAGACAGAACCCTGAGGCACCCCACAAGTGAGAGCCCAGAGGTCTGAACAATCATCCCCCACCACCACTTTCTGAACACGGCCCAGGAGGAAGGAGCGGAACCACTGTGTGACAGTGCCCCCAGCTCCCAGCCCCTCAAGACAGTCCAGAAGGATGTTATGGTCGATGGTATCAAACGCCGCTGAGAGATCCAGCAGAACTAGGAAACAGCTCTCACCTTTGTCCCTAGCCCAGACCAAGGCAGTTTCAGTCTCATGATGAGGCCTGAATCCCGACTGGAAGGGATCCAAATGGTCCGCTTCTTCCAGGCGTGCCTGGAGTTGTTCAGCAACCACTCGCTCAATCACCTTGACCAAGAATGGAAGATTTGAGACTGGGCGATAGTTAGCCATATTGGCAGCATCTAAAGATGGTTTTTTAAGAAGCGGTTTAATGACCGCCTCTTTCAGCGGGTCTGGGAAGGCTCCCTCACAGAGAGAAGCATTCACGACCCCGCAAAGCCCATCGCCCAGCCCTTCCCGGCTAGCTTTTATAAGCCAGGATGGGCAAGGATCAAGGAGACAGGTGGTTGGTTTCACTCATCCAAGCAGCCTGTCCACATCCTCGGAGGTAACAGATTGGAATTGATCCCACGCAACTTGACTAGACAGGACACTAGCACTCGGCCCTGCTCCCACGGTGGAGTCTACCTCTTCCTGAATCTGAGCAACTTTATCTGCAAAAAAACTTTGCAAAATTATTGCAGATCATGTGGCCCATTCTGGGCCCCAATGTAGCAGGTGGTTCCGCTAAATTGCAAACCACCTGAAAAAGTCCCCTGCTGCTGTTTTCTGCAGATGCAACAGAGGCGGCCAAGAAAGTGTTATTCGCCGTTGCTACCGCCACTTGGTAGGCTCGACATTGAGCTCTAACCTGTGTCTGGTCAGCTTCAGAATGAGTTATCCGCCACCGGAGCTCTAGCCGTCTCAGCGATTGTTTCATTGCCCTCAGATCCGTGGAAAACCATGGGGCTGTCCGGGCTCCATGCAATCGAAGAGGGTGCTTCGGAGCCAAACAGTCAATAGCCCTTGTTAACGTCCGCATTCCAGCGGGCCACCAGGGAATCAGCTGAAAGGCCATCAACATGGGATAAAGCATCCCCTACCACTCTCTGGAAACCGTTTAGATCCATTAAGTGGTGTGGGCGGACCATCCAAATCGGTCCCACCTCCCTGCAGAGGGGAAGGGTAGCAGAGAAGTCCAGTTGCACCAGGAAGTGATCTGACCATGGCACTGCAACCCCCCCTCCCCGCCCACAAGGCCTGGGTTGCTGTGTGTAAGAGAAACCTGGTGGGCAAGCAGCGGCAAGGACAGGCCCATCTGCTTCAGCCAACCAAGTCTCTGTTACACATGCCAGGTCAAGTCCTCCATCCATGATCAAGTCATGGATGGCAGTGGTTTTATGAATCATTGACCTGGCATTGAACAGCAGCACATTCAGGTCATGTGGGTATCCCTTGCTGATTCTAGTATACGCCCAGTCAGGACCAGACCCGGAGGCAGGGATAGTCCTCAAACGACTAAACCTGGCTCCTCTGTAATGACATGCTCTGGTCTTAACATCCACCCCCCCCAAAAAAAAGTAATCAAAAAGGAAAAAAGAAAATTTTAAAAAACATTTTAAAAAGAACATTGCACTGCTCCGAGTCCTCCTGGCCAGCAGCAGCAGCAGCAGCAACCGTCCTTAAGAGGCTTCAGGTCCCGCCCTGGGCCAGGTGGTGAGTGGCAGGAGCAGGGCCCTCAGGCACTCATGCAGGGAAGTTGTTTCAATAGGATTGCTTTGCTGTACATTTTATTTATGGATGCTAATTTTATTCTGCGTTCTAATAATGGGTATTCGTCTTTGTGCAAATAGGTGTTACTCCACTTTGTGTTTTCCAGGTCATTCTGCTTACGCAAGCATTCCAGTTTGCCTGATGGAAGGGTCCACTTTCTCCTCTCCTTGTGAGCTGTTCTAGGGAGTTCCCTCCCAATGGCCTAGAGCCAAATTCAAGGGGTTCATGGGGGCATAGAGCGGGAGGAAGGGGGGGCAAGTCCCATTTTGCAGCCAATGGAGCTGGTTAGGTGAATCCAGGCGACTATTTGTTCTCATTTGTCCACTGCTTAGAAACCAATCTGAGCATTCAGTGATCTATCTAGAAATCAAATAAGCCTCTGTTGGATGGCCATCTCTCTTGGATGATCTAGCAGAGATTTCTGCATTGCAGGGGGTCTCCTGGCTCTGAGAGACAAGCAGGGAGGGTGGCTTCTGGCAAAAGGAGAGGGAGCCACCTGTGGCTCCTCCTTCTCCTGACTCTGCCTCTCGACCTCCCTCCTCCCACTCGCTTTCTTCCTCTTCTGCCTCCGATTCTGCACTGCATTCTGCCACAGAGTCTCCCAGCTCGCTAAGCCCTGTAACCCCTTCAGCTTCTGACACCTCCTCTTCCCAGGCTTCTCCCTCTTCCCCCTCTGACCACCCATCCTTCTTCTACCTCCACTTCTTGGGCTCTCAGCAATCTTCCCTTCCTGGTTCCCCAGCTGTATCCTCCCACCATTCCTCTGTGCCCAACCAGTCCATGACATTGCTCCATCCCTCAGCCTCTGTCCCCACAAGGCAGCTTCCCCTGACCTGATCTGGTTCCACAGCCACTGCTTCCCTTCTGCCCCCATGAAAAGACGGATCAGGAAGTCTTGCTGGAATCACTCTGTCACCTGCAAGAGATAAAAGGTAAACAGGACGCCAGGAGTGCCTGCTTCTCTCACTGGTGAAACAGGGCATCTCTAACTACACATGGGCCTTTGAGAAAGCCTTACCTGCTGAGAGCATTTGGACGTTTGTGCCCATTTCATACGTTTGTTGTGAAAAAATACATCTCCCCTCCTATGGACCCTTGTTCCCAACTGTTTCCCTCCAAAACAAGATGAAAAGAACCCCCAGATGAGTTGGAAAACCAACAGAATGAGACCAAAAGGATAAAAACCACCTTCCTCCTTACCCAGTGGCCTCTCTCTGGTGTCCAACGGAGGCCTCTCTGCCTCACAGGAATCCAGGTCCATTTCTGCAAAGAGATCCTTTCCCTGAAAAAGAAACACGGATTCAAAACAGAGAATGGTGAGAAATACTAGAAAGAGAATGACAAAGACTTGAAGGGTGTGACATCTCATTCCATGGATGCTTTCCCAGAAAACGGATGGGCCATCAGCAGACCATTATGGGATGTTCTTTGTCCTGTTTGGAGCCCCTTGGGAGTATCCAGAGGAAAGTCTCTCTCACCTGCTTTCTCTCCTCTGCCTGACTCAGGAGGAAACCTTCGGCCAGGGCCACCGCCTGGGAACTGGTCTCCGCTCCGCAGTCCCTCACCCAGCTCTCCATCTCCGGGGGAAGGACAGCCAGGAACTGCTCCAAGATCACCAGGTCCAGCATCTCAGCTTTCGTGTGCCTTTCTGGCTTCAGCCACTGATGGTCAAGGTGGAAGAGTCTGCTGCAAGCCTCTCGGGGTCCTTTGGCCTCCTGGCAGCAGAACTGCCTCAACTGCTGGCTCTGCACCTCTGAGCATGGAGTGTCCTCCTCACCCAGGATCTTCTGCACTGGGTTTTCCCAGAATCCCCCACTGCTCCCAGTTTGGTTAGCAGGGCCCCTTCCTGCTTCAGGGCCAGCTGAGTCTCGCTCATCCATCTGTGCTCTCAGAAAGCCTCTGAGAGATCAGAAGAAATCCTTTGGTCTTCTGACAAGTTCTGTCTGTCGTAATGAAAAGCTCAAGGAAATCCTACAAAGCAAATACATTGTTCTGTTACAGAAACAAGATGAATTTTAACAGGGAGAAATGTAAAGTATTGCACTTGGGCAAAAAAAAATGAGAGGCACAAATACAAGATGGGTGACACCTGGCTTGAGAGCAGTACATGTGAAAAGGATCTAGGAGTCTTGGTTGACCACAAACTTGACATGAGCCAACAGTGTGACGCGGCAGCTAAAAAGCCAATGCAATTCTGGGCCTCATCAATAGGAGTATAGCATCTAGATCAAGGGAAGTAATAGTGCCACTGTATTCTGCTCTGGTCAGACCTCACCTGGGGTACTGTGTCCAGTTCTGGGCACCACAGTTCAAGAAGGACACTGACAAACTGGAACGTGTCCAGAGGAGGGCAACCAAAATGGTCAAAGGCCTGGAAACGATGCCTTATGAGGAACGGCTAAGGGAGCTGGGCATGTTTAGCCTGGAGAAGAGGAAGTTAAGGGGTGATATGATAGCCATGTTCAAATATATAAAAGGATGTCACATAGAGGGAGAAAGGTTGTTTTCTGCTGCTCCAGAGAAGCGGACACGGAGCAATGGATCCAAACTACAAGAAAAAGATTCCACCTAAACATTAGGAAGAACTTCCTGACAGTAAGAGCTGTTCGACAGTGGAATTTGCTGCCAAAGAGTGTGGTGGAGTCTCCTTCTTTGGAGGTCTTTAAGCAGAGGCTTGACAACCATATGTCAGGAGTGCTCTGATGGTGTTTCCTGCTTGGCAGGGGGTTGGACTCGATGGCCCTTGTGGTCTCTTCCAACTCTAGGATTCTGTGAGAATTTGTAGGACGGGGGGGAAATGGTTCCCTGAGCAAGCATGGATGAGTCTTGCTGGGAACCAGGGCTGCACTGCACAGCATCCGAGACCGTGAGCTATCTTTTTGAAAAGAAAGAGGAGGAAGAGGAGAAGAAATAAGTCTCTAGCCTTCTAGTAATGCAAAATGTGGAGGCAACTGAAGGGATTTCTGGGAGATTAATCAACCTGGTTTCTGCTGCCTTCCAGTCAATGCATGAAGTCAGAACTGACTGACAGGGGAGTCATTTGTATCTTGTGAAAAATGGATGCTTGGCTCTAGTGGGGGTCCCCACCCGGGGGTCCTTAGGAGTTCCTCCCCACCCTCAGTCCCCTGCTTCCTTCTCCTTTTCTTACACTTGGACTTTCTGCCGCTCTCCAGACAGACTCCTGGGGTGGGGTCCCCTTTGCTCTGAGGGCCAGGTATGTATCTGATCAACCCCCTGAGGGCCAAGTGGGCAGGGCCAAAGAAATCTCCCTTGATATTTAGCTGGGTAATTTATGATGATGATGATGATGATGTTAGATAGCTTCACACACGCACAGCCATTCATGCCAAGGTCCCTGGAGGCTCGGTGAGTAGCAGCGCCCATTTCCGGCTGCTTTGCCAGCAACAATCCCTTTGGGACAGAGAGGATGTGGTCCTGGGATGCCATGCTCTGGGTGCGAGAGGATTGCTGCAGTGGCCTCCGTGGGGAGCTGCCCTGGGAGACGACTGGGAAACTGGTTTGCAATGCAGCAGCCAGACTAGGGGCTGGGATCCCTCTCTTTATTCCTGGCCTTTCTCTCCCACCTTTCCTTCCTTCCTCCACTTGGGTTTTTTTTTTGGGGGGGGGAGGAGCTAGTCCACCTCCTCTTCCAGCTTTGGAAAAGCATTTGCACATGTTTCCTCTGTTGTGCAATGAGGCCGAGCGATATCACACAGAGTTAAAGTCCCAGGGACTCCTTTGTTTAAAGGGAGATTTCTTCTGAAAGGGGGGGCGGGGGGCCAGATGAGTTTGGGATCCTCTGATCTCCAGGAAGGAGAGCGTGGCAGACCTGGCCCCTCCCGGATCAGGCCCCCCAGGCATCCTCCCCTGCTGCAGCCCTGGGACCCCCCCCCCCGTCTCCCCACTGCACCCTCTGGGGGGAGAGAGAGGAGACTCACCAGATCCCAGGAGGGGACAGCGAGGCAGCCCTTGCAGGAGAGACCCCAAAGCAGGAAAGGACTGGGGAGGGAGGGGCCTTGGCTCTGGAGGACCTGGCCCCCCTTGCTTCCTGGCCTCTCTAGGAAGGCAGCTCACTTCCCTTTAACCCTTGCCAAGCCGAGTCCCTCCAGCTCAGCCCTCTCTCGCTTGGCAGAACCTCAGATTTCTATTATTTTTACGGATTTAGGGGGGCAGCTGCCCAGATATCCTTTTGGAGCGTGAGGCTCTTGGCTGGACTCTGAGCATCTCCCTCCCTTGGCCAGAAACCAGAGGAAGAGCTTGCAGGGAAAAGGGCTTTGCAGGAGGCAAGGAAGCTCCTCCTAGAATTCCGGAGTGGAGAGATAGGAGGGGATCCCAGGGTCATCTAGTCCAACCCCCAGCAATGCAGGAATCTCAGCTAAAGCATCCATGGCAGATGGCCGTCCAATCTCTGCTTAGAAACCTCCACGGAAGGAGAGTCCACCACCTCCCAAGGGAGACCTTTCCCCTGCCAAACTGCTCTTAGATCTCCCTCAAGGCAGCGGGTCCTGAGTTCTAGCCCTGCTGAAACAATCGCACTGGCTGCCAAGGAAGAACCCAGCGAAGTTCAAAAGAAATAAATCCTATTCTCATCATAAATGAGTAATACTTTCTTATGCATGCTTTTTATGCTAATATACAAAAGTATATTATATCCCTTTCCAGAAATGCTTAATTGCTAATTCGATGGACTGAAAATGGATTGTTGTTATTTTTATGTTTAGTGAAGCTTTTAATATTTGATGGACTATTGTATTTTAATATTTTGTTGGAAGTCGCCCAGAGTGGCTGGGGAAACCCAGCCAGATGGGCAGCGTAAAAATAAATTGTTGTTGTTGTTGTTGTTGTTGAAATTGATCAGGTGAGTGTTCTCCTTTCGAAAGAGGCAGGGGGAATCTCCACTGTTGCTAATAGCATAACATTGAAAGGCTAGTGAAATATGGGGAGCCGTACAGCATCTGCTTGGCATGCAGAATGTCCCAGGGTCAACCACTGACATCTCCTGCAAGGGCTGGACGAAATCCCTGCCTGAACCTGGGGAAATGCTGCCAGTCAGTGTAGACCAGGGGCCCTCAAACCATGTCCCACGGGCCAAATCCAGCCCCCCAGGGTCATGAATCTGGCCTGCATGGCCATTTCACAACCCGCCAAGTGTCTGAGGCTGAAAGCATCTTGCTGCCCGCTCAGTCAGTCCCCGTGAGGTAAACGCCACTGGCATGGTGGCGACTCTACCAATGAAAGGCCAGGGGTTTCGCCTGGGGACGGGGAAGTGTTGTCTTTTGGCTTGAAGAGAGGAGTTGAGGTTCCTTACGTATCCTTTAAAGGTGGGAGAAGGAAGTATAGTCCTATTTCTGTGAGTGGAGCAGAGGTCTTTCCACTCCTGTGATTTACATGCTCTGAAAGTTGGGATCTGTTTTGATATTTAAATTTTAAAAGGGTGGAGTGGAACTGGAGATTGACCATTTAGTTAGCCTGGGGAGCCACATTCTGATTGAAGGAGGCCAGGATAATCCCCCAAAGGCCTGAGGTGTCCCTCCTCCCCTGCAGTAGGACTTGGAATCCAGGAGAAAACTCTTGGAATAGCCTTGCCAGGTGCTCAGGGACGGACTCACCTGTCCCCATGTCCTTCTCTTTGCAGATGTGCTGCAAACTGTGTTGGAATGTGACATCAAGCTTTATTTACAGCGGTAAATAACAAAGAAACATGGCGTGAGCTGTCTTCCACAGCCGTCTCCTCCTCGGTCAGAGTAGAAGAGTACAAAGGCCAGAAGTGATTTACAGATTGACTTCCATTCTTACACAGACAGTACAGAAAATGTAAACATGGATATCATGTTACACTAGCTTTGGGAGAATGAAATACCGACAGTTTGGCCCCTAATTTGGTCCAAGACCAAAATCTGCAGCCTTCATGGTTCAGGAGTGCCAGGGACTCCGTGGTGGGGGCAGTGGGGGCCGCTTTGGCCCAGATTGGCCCCTGACTCCAAGACGCTCTTTCCTCCCGCAGGACCTCCGATGTTACGCCCTTTGGGAAAGTGGGGAGGAACAGAAACCAGCAGCCAACAGCATCCCTTCTCTGCTGGCCTTTGCCCGAAGGTCCCCCCCATCTCAGAGCAAGTAGCTCTCCCTCATGGATTCAGTCCTTTCAACACTTCCATCTCCCCAAGAGGCTCCCAAGGCTACTCATCCTCTGCAGTTGAGAACAGACCTAACTGAAAAGAACGGCTTCCTCTTCTGGTGACACCAGAGAATTCTAGAAGACATTCACCCTTTCCATAGCATTATGGATGCACGATTCCCACAGGCAGGTTTCTTGGCAAGACAAGGGCCTTCGCTGGCCATAGAGTGTCCTCCTCAGCATTCCCAATGAAGGAGCTGGGTTGCAAGAGCTGCAGTGTTGTGACGTGGGGTTTGTGAATTCAGCTCTCCTGATATAACATGCTGGAGACAGTTCTCTAGTAACACTTCTTTATTAAAGCAACAAGACTGAAGACTGGGGAGAGGAAAGCTACATTTATAGGGACAGGGAACTAGCAAGAAAGGATACATTTTGGAGGGAACAATATCAGGCAATCACAGTCCTGCCTTTTGGAGGGAACCAATAAGACAGAGGATCCAAATACAGCAGCTTAAATGAACCAATAGTAGCTGTACCCTCTGGAACCAAAAGGCAGTTACTTTACCCTAATGCAAATACAGACAATAATAATACAGATATAAAATCCTTTGACTCAATACACAACACCCCTTCCCCCCCTAGTGAGCACAGCAGACGTAATCTCTCAGGTACTGTGGGGGCCTACAACTTCTACTTGATCTCCTGACAACAGGTGTTGCAGGTTCTGGATTGGGTGTTACCTGTGGTAGAGGGGCTGCTCTAGGG